ATTGTAATTGAAGAAGTTCACCGTTGGGACCGAAACGTCATACAATAAAGATGAATCTTAAACATAGGCGTTGTTTGATTCAGAAGATAAACACGGAGGATTAAGAACTATGATTTTCCAAACGCAAATACAACGGTAGCTTAGGGAAGTTGGAGCAGACATGAGTTCCTATCCCCATTCATCTTCTTCATTTATTTGAGGAAATACGTACATGCATAACGTTTATTGTCAAATATAAATCCTAAATGTCGTACACAACAAACATAAAGTATCCGAAAAAGTTGCTAAAACTGAAAGTACAATGAAAGACTGAACAATGTAAATACTGTATACTTTGATATCTATGATACATAGATATCCAGGTAATTATAACTGAGATAAAAGCTTTATTTGTACGAGAGTTAGTGATAACTAAAATACTATTGATTTTTGTATTGAGTTTTCATATCTACAATTTCGTGGATGGAACATTTTGGTTGTTGTAAAATCAATTTCTTGAGGTCTTTCTTAAACGATCTAATTAATTTTGTACTATGATCATTGAGTAATGGATTTTAATGTTTGTGTGTGGATTTTGATAGAATATTGTTCTGTAGTTGTGAATGATATGCTTCAAGTCTTTCGGATGTTCAACATAATGGACTAGCTCCATATAGAGCAAGTCACTTGGATAAGTGACCTCCTCATGAAGGATCAATTTTAGGATTACCTTTTTTTGTAATCATTATGCCAATCCAAAATTCCGTAAAGTGGTAGAACATAATAGCGACTGAATATGCACTTATCAAAAATATCTCCGAAGTGCTCTGTATGAGCATCCACTTCAAGTGTTTGTCAAAAACTACCCCTAAGTCTTATTTTATCGGTTGTCTGAATCTCTCTGAGACCACTGCTTGTATGAAATTCAAGCTTACTAAAATTAGGTGAGAGATAGAGAGATAGTATATTTTTTTGTAAATAATTATTATAGCTCACACCTAAAAGATATTTAGGAACGTTTTGACATCATTTTCGTTTTTTTTTCTTTTACTCCCATAGGAAATAGCTGTATCATCCGCAAAACTTTACCCGCTATACTTAATTTGAACTAATCGTTGATCAATAGACGAATAACATTATTATTCTGACCGACATCACGCACGTCAGCTACCTAAAAAAATAACCCAAAACACCAGGTACTGTCTCCCAGAAACCCTTTCTTTCTAAGCTTATAACATAACAAGCGGTCGCCGTCACTCTGTTTAATCCGTTTAAAGAGCTTTCAATTTTTATGACAATTGCGATTACGCATTCTGGACGGACACATACGTACCTTTGGCATTTTCAGTCCCAAAGTACACGCAAACAGCACAAATCACAGGAGTGAAAAAACAAATTCCGAGGGCACAAAGAACAACTGATCTGAACGACAAGTTTCAGGCAATTAAACAACCGAAGTAAATAAAAGCCCACAACATTTTCCTTTAAACAAGACATTTTGGAATTCATTATTCGCTATCTGTTTCCTGAACGTATACATTTTTGCTAATACCGATTCGGTTGCATCTAAGATGGTAAATGCGAGAAACTAGTAAATATTGATAACAATACTGATATTAAATACGCCAAAATAAAAGAATCTAGTATTTTATGAAAAATCAAATAGAACAAGATAGAAAAAAGCTTGGGATAGAATCCCCACTAAAAAGTTACGTTTGGCATGTCTCATTTCTGTTACGCATTTTATATGTACATATAATCATCACTATCATCACTTGTTTTTTCTAAAGAAATGCTTACTAATGGTCAATGGCAATGGCTTAAGTCACAATACAATATATGAGCAGTTCCAATTATAAAATATTTATATTTGTTATTAGGAAGTCGAAATTTAAGCATCTCTCCGTCTATTCCGAGTGTCATAGGTTTTCAATGTAACTACAGATATATTATAACATATCCAAATTCCAAAAAAAGCGCTAGTGTATGGGTGGAGCGAGTGGAAGGCGTGGTCCATTAGATCTTTTCATCATATTTCTATATTATATCGTTAATTTTTTAGACAATCTAACAAGTTTCTCCACGTAACGTCAGGATATCACTGTTTACATGTGATGAACCATCCAAGACGTGACGAAAAAAGTTTGGTAGAAAAGTTATCAGGCAATACGTATTGCCAAAAAAAACTAAAGTTTCGAAAAATCATGAGCTCATGACATTGACAATACTTTAACTTGCGGTGGACACGAAATTTGAACTCACCCGTATTGATATTTTTTGAGAAAGTCTGGAAATTTTTTTAATTTTATAATGAAGTCTAAAATCTTATCAAATCATGTACCACTACAGACCATCACAAAAATCTAATCAGGGGCCCCGGAGAAACAACACAAAAAAACGTGACCAACCACCTTAAATCGATTCTTCCACTGCTTATTCAACGAATGGGACATCTTCAGTCTATCCTTTCATACTAACATAGTATAGAAGCAGATGTCTGCTACATTCCCGCAATAAACTTAGGATTGAGCTCGTGATAGCGCAGACTCTTAATCTATGTGTTTTTACGCATAATGCATTTTTAATAGCTTTTTAATGGTTATCGGGGCCGTTGCTCGTAAATCTAATAACAACACATGTTGCCTTACAGAAAGTCACTCCGTTTCAAGAAGACAGATTAGACCGAGCTTACTATTTTTAAGTAAACCATAAACTCTCAAGTAGGAAAAAACAGAAGGTGAAGAACAATGTATACAAAATTATCCGCAGAATCGTGTATGATGGTTTACAGCGATTGCATTGCTTTGTTTCAGCTTTGTTGATTTGATAAAAAAATATTACTCAGAATGACTAGTTGGCACGAACACGGTTAAGGTTATAACTGTTGAGATATACAGGGTGGCTCATCCATGTGTGGACGGAATATTACTCATAAACAAATACATTTTGGGAAGATCTATTCATGCCATGTTATACATGACATTCGAGGGCACATTTCTAAAATATTGACAATTATACAGGGTGTCCCAGTTTTGGCCTACATATCAAAGTCGTGATTTTTTAAATGGAATGCCTCAAATTTTATTGCATATTTGGATGAACCAATTCAAAAGAAGAAGACTGATATAAAATACTATGTGGTCTACTGAGATGTAAGGTGTTTTGTCCAGAAAAACCGTCCACCTCGGCAACCTCTCAATCCGCCATTTTCAAATTTGGACTGCTGAATTTTGTATAAAAAAAACTTACTTTATCTTATTTGTTACTTTTTCGAATTTTCATTTTTGCTCATGCAGATTGTAGTTTTCCTCAAAAATTTCAAATGCATCACCCTGTATATTTGTGCAAGATTGTAAGTTTTTTTTTTATACAAAACTCAACACTCCAAATTTCAAAATGGTGGACTGAGGGGTTGCTGAAGTGGGGCGTTTTTCTAGACAAAACACGTTATATCTCAGTAGCTAATTACCAAAACCTCATAGTATGTCATATCAATTTTCTTCCCTTGAATTGGTTTATCCAAATATGCAATAAAATTTGAGGCATTCTATTTGAAAAATCACAACATAGATATGTAGTTCGAAATTGGGACACCCTGTATAATGACCAGTATTTTAAAGATGTGCCCTCAAATGTTATGTATAACATCCCATTGAGAGATTTTTCCAAAATGTATTTGTTTATGAGTAATATTCTGTTCGCACACAGATGGGCCACCCTGTATATTGTTATTGACAAAAGCAACTACTGCCAGCTTGACTGTTCTAAACTTCGGCGAGATGAACCTGGACGTATCGAGAAGAATATATTTTGCCCCTTGCATTAGTACGGTTTCTCTCTTCTCTGTCTTGAGGTCGAAAATTAAAATAACTTCATAAATTGAACCTTTTGAGACAACATAAAAATAAAGCTTTACTTTTCAAAAATATAATCACATCCTAGTGGTTCATACCTAGATGCGGCTTGTATACAGAATGCTATCAGAGCCGTTGCGAGGTTTCATAAGGGGTGTAAATAGCAAGGGTAAATCGTTGCTACCTGCTCAACGGTTTATTATTCACTATACTCCAGGGTATCTCTTATTAAAGTGCACAGTGAGTTTTTATTTATGCCGCCAGAATACTGCTTTGTAACGAGAAATTCGAATTGGCATCATAACAGAGCCGGACCTTTAGCTGTCATTTTGATAACGCATTTAGGGCCGTATTGTCAGTCGTTGCTACAATAGAAGGACGCCTTTATGTCCTCCTTGATTTTCATAGTCTCTTCTCTCCTGAGGAAATGCTATGTGGCATCTCCAGATTCCTACTGTTCGGAGTCAGCGTCAGCGCTCTCCTATTAGGAGGTTAAGTTTTGTTTTTGAAATGTAGGAAATTTCTAGCTGACTAAGCAGACGATAAAAATCAAAAGCATGAACAATTTGATGTAAACAAACATTTGTAACATAACCTGACCTCTTTGAATGACAGGGAAAATTATGAAAATCAAGGAGCCGTATAGATGTCCTACAGTTGTACGATGCCTTTACTCCTCCTTGATATTTCATAGTCTTCTTCTGTTCCGTGTCGACGCTCTGTGTTGAGGTTATGTTACCAATATCTACTTGTATCGAATTGTCCATGCTTTTGATTTACATCATCTGTTATATAGCCTAAAATTTCCTACAATTCAGAAAGAAAACACAGTATCACAATAGAAGAGCACTGACGCTGACGCTAGAAATAGCCCAGCCTTTCTGAAGGAGAGAAAATACTATGAAAATCAAGGAGGCCATAAAGGCGCACTTACAATTGTAGGAACGACTGATCGTACGGTCCTCGGTCAATTATCTCGCAATTAATAAATCTCATTTATATGACAAGTAATAGGATCATTTTGTGCAGAATTCAACTCTCTGTCATTTTAATTTCATACAATTTTACCGTACGATCAACAGCCTTCGGGAAACTGAATAGTTGCAAATGCACGAAAGAGCTAGATTGCTAAAAATATTTTAAGATGGCTCGTGGGAACTAAAGCGATTACGTTAACTTACCGGCATTCCCTTTACCCTTAGCAGCTTCCAAGTCCACTGCACTTTCTTTTTCAATCAATGGTTCCATAGTTACTACCTCTTGCTCTATGCCTTGTCCACAGAAGGGTCCACATGATGCTAGAATAAAAATCCAATTTTATTGTATCTTATGTACTTTTCCAAGGCATAAACTACTTACCATGAGCAAGAATGTTTGTTCTGGAAGTAACACCTGCCCTAGTAGCTTCTACTTGCAAAGCTAGGTCATTTCTTGGGTCATTAGTAGTGATGTTACCAATATTTCCTTAAAAATCAGACGACCAAATATTTTTCTGTACTTCACAAAATTGTAGTCAATTGAACTGAGATTTTTCAAGATTCTCAACATACTGAAAGTCCTTTTGAAAAAGTGCCAAGAGAAAAGACAATGTGTTTTCAAATGTAGGAAGAACAACGAGAATGGAGTACTTGTAAGCAAGATAAAGTTCAAGTATCTAGTCTCAAAAGAAAAATCACTATTATCAGTGTGACTTGCGACGACTTACCTTTATACAATTTTGAAAAAGGCATGTCGCCCGAAACATCACTCTGGATTGTCACCACCTTAAACCACTCGGATATGTACCAATACCTGTTAGAAATGATAACTATAAGTAGTAAAAGGTATTTACGTCTTATTTCGATAACGTTAGTTTGGCCTACATGTGTAACAAAACATTGAGGTTTCAGTAATCAAACCGCACTGTGGTATTTCCTCTTTTCGTATAAATATCGGGTGATAACGGAAAATAATACGCAAACGGAACGCAAATAGTATTTCAATGTCATGTTGTGGCTTGAAAAATTTCATTTGGCCCTCGTAAGGTGCGTTGGGTCTTTATCTGTACTTAGATACAGAATAATCGGATACACTTGGCTATTTCTATTCTGTCACGCCGAAATACGATATGGCTATTGTGGGTAGGTATTTTTGTTGTAATTATTATATTTCCCCACTGATGGTATGTGCTAAAGTTTAAGTAACGCTACGTAGGATAAAGTTGGGCAATCGTAGCAAGAGAGGGAGGGTGTTTTTTAATCAGCTTACAGAGATCATCTATTAGACCCATTGAATCCGTATAAGTTGAAAAGGTTCATCTATCCAACTTAAACGTACGAGTTACCGATTTAGAGAACATTGGTAAAACAAAAACATCATCATAACAAATAACTAAGAACATTTGTTTAAGTACAAAGTTCACAAATATAGTCTAGTTGACTGCGGAGTGAAGCATTTCTTTTATGCATCCAATTTGTGCATTGGCTGCAACTGACCATATGCTCTACAAGATATTCCGGTACGATTTAATAAAATTTACAGTCTGCAACATGTTGCGGTACAAGCGCCAACGACAAAAATGTAATTCATAGAACATATAAATATTGACTGTTCTAATCTCTTCGGATGTAGCTGATCTGGAACGATTTAATTAGACTTTCTTGCATTGTTTAGACCATTGATTCCCAAAGTGGTCTATATCGATCCCTAGGGGTCTATGACAACCTGCAAGGGGTCTACGTCAGCGAAAAAAATTTGAGGGTCCATGAAATGAATATGGGGGTCCACGATAGTGGATCTCAACACATACACTGATAGTACCTATTTACTTACATCATACTATCCTATAATATCAAAACATATACATTATTTATAAAAGTACCTATGAAGTAAAAAATTTATTATATATGATATAAAATTGTGCAAGTTGTAGGATGTTGGTATTCGCTTTTTGGTCGCAATACATTTTGAACTTGTAAAAACCTGAGAGTCGCAGTCTCAGAGCTTCGCTACCTTGCACTGACTTGTTCAATTCGTCACTCTATAAATACGAATGTGGGACAAATACGTTTATTCGTTTCCTGAATCTTGAAAAGGAAAGTGCTAAGAAAATATTTTAAAAAATATAAACAGGTAGTATATCACACAAATTATAGTGAGTCAGTGTTATTTTGTTTGAGAGTGCTGGAGAAAAGTAACTACATTATTTTTTATTAAATTTTAGTTCTGTACTCGTAGTTAGCAAAGATAGATAAATTACGCCAATCATGACTTTAGTTATTAGTAGTTAAATATTCAATCATGCAAAATTACACGAGCACTCCTCAATAGTTTCTTTTTGAAAGTTTTAGCAATCGGTAATATAATTACAGTGCAATCTCCGTAATTCGAGCTAATTGTTGCAAGAAGATGTTCGAATTATGGAATGTTTTCGGAAAAATCAAAAAATAGTTTTAATATACAGCTGCTGGATTTTCTGTCTTATTTAAATAATTTAATTTGGCCCACAGATCACTGATGCCATGTCCGAATCTAAAAAGAAATGTAGACAGTACAGTGATTATTTGAAATTTGGCTTTATTCCATCATTGCCGGACAAACAATCGCCTATGTGCCTTTTATGCAACAAAGTTTTGGGCAATGACGCTATGAAACCATGTAAACTGCAAGATCATCTGAGAAGATGCCACCCTGATAAAACAGAGAAAGATTTGAAATACTTTCAAACACTCAAAGATAAATTTCAGAAAAGACCTACACTGGACAGAATGTTCGCTTCGACATCACAAAGAAATGATGATGGTTTGCGGGCGTCTTACAATATCTCGTTACTTATAGCAAAATCCGTAAAACCGCATACTATCGGAGAGAAGTTAATTTTGCCAGCCGTTGAAGAGGTCTTAAAAACTGTTTTGCACAAACCTGCATCTGATATCATTAAAAGAATTCCATTAAGCAACAATACTGTTGAAAGACGTATTGATGAAATGAGTTCTGATATTGAAAGCTCCTTATGTAATTATTTGCAAACGACCCATTTCTCTATACAACTGGTCAGACACCTGTTTATTGAATGTTACGTATATTTTACATAACAGATACAAAATTTTATTTTGAGTAGTTTTAATTTAAATTCATTTAATAAATGTATAAATTAACATGTGTTTTTACTTTAAGTTTTCAACACTAAACTTCACTACAGTTAGAAATTTACAGGAAATCAATATCAGGTAAGTAGGGGGTCTACCCAACCCGGACAACCTTGGCAAGTTGTCTATGACACAAAAAAGTTTGGGGAACTCTGGTTTAGAGTGTCAAATACCTTTACTACTTGGCCATTTCTTGATTTTTTTACTGAGCCTCATAGTATCTCAGATGTTTATTTTGTTGTACTTTTATAACAAACATTGATACTTTGTATTTTTGCAGCTTTGTCTCTAACTTCTGCCCTTGTTGATATCGTAATGCGGCTATTAAAATAAATATCTGCCAGGTGGATGAAGCCTTATTATTATTACTAAGTGTTGCAGATATCGAATTGTGCCAGGCGCATGTTACGTAGCATTTTATAGACGTTCCGACAGTCTGCAACATATTCAACAGTCTTCCCAATTCAACACGTTGGAGTAGCACTTGTAGCAACGACACATCCCTAAGCTCAACTGTTGATATGTATTTTGTTTCCTCATTTGCCAATAGACAACTCCCTATATATGGTACATTCCTGCTATTGCGCAGTAGGCATATGCGTTTCTAATTATTTCGGAAGAAGTTTTCAAGCGTGGTTTTCCAACTTATAGCTGCAACCTTTGTTACGCGTCGGTAGAGTCATCCAAAACACGTAGTAATTGAAAACGTCCCTCGAGTTATTGCTCCCATAGGACAAAAGGAAATGGGAGACAAATCGTCGGAGATCAAAGGATCGATAGGTCATCCGACAGTCACGTCACAGGACGTTGTAATACGCAATAATCCAGACACGTGGCAGGTCGGGATTGGGAACATCTGTTTGAGGGATAATTCCTTGTTTCCTGAAATCGAATACCAACAGTAGCCCTTAGGACTTTATAGTCATGCAGAAGTGGTCTATGGGACTAAATAATGGGGATAGTGGCACCACAACTAACAAAAGTATCGTATCTCATTGAGTGATAAAAAAAAACGGGATAATGAACTTTCAATCGCGATTACAACTAAACCATTAAGTGTAGAGCTGTGATTTTTTTTCTGAGATGAGCTAAACGATTTGTTTTATCAACGGTTATGTCACTTGTTAACAAAGCTTATTAGAAATCAACTCAAAAAATCTTAAATTCATTATTTTGTGAAAAATCACTTCTATCCCTCAACTTTGGAGGGCGGTAAAGAAAATTGAGGTTGTATTTCATTATTCATTTTATTGTAAAAACAATTTCAATCCATGTAAAGTAAATCCTAAAAATTTCAGCTGGCTACGATGAGTGTATCATGTCACATTCGTCGTTGTGATGCGATAAACGTAAGAATTCTTACCACCTACAAGTACAGAACCTATTGTGTTTAGCTGCCCTTTATGGCGATTTACCGACAAATGTGGAAGAAAATGTAATTTAACAAACCGTTCAAAAACATGCTCGAAATGGCCTCCATTATTTTCTATACACAAGGGACACAATAAAATTGACCTTTAGTCTTTGAAATGAGTTTACGTTTTCCATAATTTTCATTAATGCTTCATCAATTTTCTGGCGCAGTTAGTTGACATTTGTATATTCAGATGTACAGATTCTCCCCTTATAAAACCCCCGTATAAAAAATCTAGAGGAGTTAAATTGGGTAACCTTGGAGGCCATCGTATGTGTCCATCTCTACCTATCCACCGCCCAGGAAAGGCACTGTCTAAGTAATGCCGTACATAAGGTGCAAAGTGGCATCCTCTAGCAGTTGATGCCTTGTAGAAAAGCAAGATATGACTGAACGTTCAACCTGGCTTGTAATTCATATGGTCCAATTAATTTTTTGTTGAGTACTCCAGCCCATAAATTAACGACGAACTGACGTTGAAAGCTGTTGCGGCGAATAGCGTGTCGGATTCCTATTTTGGCGTCAGAGTTCTTTCTCAATACAAATCTGGGAACTATGTGGTCCTTCCTACTGCCAAGTATGTTAGTTTCTACAGGTTTCCGTATTTCATTGTGTACAAGACGCTCATATCTTCCCTTGGGCTATAACAGTAGCCTAGAGCAGCCCATTGTCGCCTCCCCCATTATCACAAATTGTATCGAGTTCCAGCATGGTCTCAAGTGCTGCAGCTCCAGCGCTCTTCATTGCACCTGCTATCGACAGACAGGCAGGCCTTTGTACCGTTTGGTTGGGCAAATGAAAATTCTCTTTACTTTTGTATAACAATAATAATATTTATTCACTCAATGTACAAGGAGCACAAACAACCTGAGTAAATAAATATAAAATCAGTACAGGCCCAATAAAAGGCATTGCCTGTACATGGACCAATAATTTTAAGTTGCAACTGTAGAATGCAAATGACAAAAAAGGAAAAAAAATAGCCACAGTAGATTATGTATTTACTTAATGTTCGTATTTATTAGTTTATGAATTTCAGTCCTAGATATAGAATGTAGCCACCTTTTTTAATTTGTTTTGAAATAATTTCCGAAACGTAGATCTTTCAAGTCTTTAGGTATAATTTCATACAATTTTGGCGCTAAATAGAGATATGACCGCTGCATTATAGATTTATACGGCTGAGGAACTACTGTGCCACAAATTCTGTACCTTGTGTAATGATTATGCTTGTTTTTTGGTCGGTGTTTACAATACATAACCATTGGCAGCCTAAGATATGAACTCACCAGCCGCTAAACGGAAATTATTTCATATTTTGGAAACTATTGGCATTGGCATATAATCTGCAGGTACCAAAGTTGTAGACAAATAATTTGGTTCCAGACTTAGGCTCTTAAGTCTGAAAAATGACAATACTTTTTTATATCTACTAAAACA